TTAGGTACTGAAGCGACGAGGACCGACACAAATTTCAGTTTCTCAGTCGGCGAGAACCGCGCTCCAGCGCCTGTTTCCTTTCCCGGAATGGGACCCAGAACACTTCAATCGCCATACGCTGGGGAAGATGAAGAGCTTTCTGCGGACGGCATTTAGTGAGTTCAGATCGACCCATTTTTCTTCCAGAATCTGACCTTGAGTGTTAGCGCAAGAACAATGTACTACGGCCTCGCTGCCCGAGGACATGTGCGTTAACGCGCCGGATGACTTTGAAAAAGACATTGCAGACGACCCGCTCGATGACCCATCCCTCATTCGCTTCCCAGCTGGCCAATCAAGTGCGGATTCAATGATGGATTCAATGGAAGTTGACGACACACCCCAAAACTTAAACAACAACGAAGGTGGTGCAGGAAAAAAGAGGAAGCGGGGGGACTCGTGGTGTAGTGGCATTCCACCTGTCCTGGCCTTTGGGTAAAGCCAAAAAGGTCCTGGGTTCAATCTCAGCAAAAGCTGCCTAACGAGGGGTTCTAGTGGGTATTAAGGACAAAGAGCCTTGGAGTCCCACACTGTTTGTTCACACACTGTGTCATTCGTGCGTAAATGCATTCCCCCTGGTGGAGTAGTAGGATAAAGTCTTACTGCTTTGGATATTCACATGTCCAACCTTTACCAGAGCCTTGTGGGATGATCAATTATCAACTGCACAAGAGTTCGCATATGGTACAGCCAAAAAAATAAAATTAAAAAAAGAGGAAGCGGTCAAAGAAAAACTCCGACGATGCGGAGAACAACGCTCAGAGTGCCTCAAAGAAACAGGCAACCAACAAATCGAAAGCTGCCGCAAAAGCCGCCGCGAAAACTACCACGAATGCTGCTGCTATGTCAGCTTCAAAAACTGCGCCGAATATTGTGACTCAAAACCCTTCAACATTGCCCCCGCCGCCCGCGACGACAAACGATACGCAGACGGGACAAGTAGAGGGGACAACGCAAGCACCAGTGGCCGTTGCAGAAAGCGCGAAGAACATGGAGCAGGGACGAAACGGCTGCGCCCGTATGGACCCCCGTCGCTGCTGAAACCCACAGCTGGGGATTCCGAAGTCGCCGCGCCACCTTGTCCCGAAGGGACTCCGCCTTGGTTGCAAGGCTTCTGGGCTCAACTGACCTCAAAACCGCTGAACGCCAAGTATAACGGCCTTCTACTTGCGCTAGCAAAGCTCGAGAAGATCTACAACTGGGACGGATCGCGCAAAGAAGCCCTATCAGCATGTGGCCGGCCAAAGCAAGTGGCCACTTGGATTCAGGGTGTGCGGAATAGCCCAGGCCCAGTCGCAATTGGGAACGCGTATCAGTTCGAGAAGCAGTGGTGGTTGTGGTGGAAAAACCTGCAACCAGAGTGGAGAGACACCAAAGACTGGACGCGAACTGAGCCGGGGAGGAGGGCGGACAATGGAACGGGCTGCTCATTCCAGGGCAAAACGGTATGCTAAGCGTCGTCGCAACGTTGTACTGGTGGGCATGCGACCAGAAACGTATCAATGGCCGCATGATGAAAAGCTGGTGGAAAGCCATCGACGATGTAACCTGGGTAATGGAATGCTTGACCAATGTCGCGGACAACAAAATGAGCAAGTAGAATGAGTGGTACATAGTCAGTAGCATAATAATGAAATTTAGGCCTTATTTTGTTCCAAAAATGAGTTTGAAAGAAGGAGGGAGGGACTTAGAATGTTTCGGGGGTGTCTTGGTCACGTGCCAGATGAGGGACTTGGGCTAAAAAATGAATGAAAATCGGCAGGAACGCCGAAGGTGGTGGTGAATCAGTGTTAGTATCAAAAATCAGTCGGAGAAGGGACGGCCAGGCTTGCCGATCTGAATAGCTTGCCGATCTGAATATCTTTTCACATGGAAGGGGGGTGGTCCCGAAAGGGAAGGCCCATCACAGCATGCCCGGTGAACAACCCGAAATGGTAATTCCTATGACATCATGCCCAGAGGGTGCCCAAATAAGGGAGCCCGGAGTGATCCAGCGGCGCGGAGATGATAACCGGTACATTTGTCAATTTCCCCTGCAAAGGTAGGTATGAGGCCTGCAGGAATATTTGACTCCGGGTCGCCCTGCTGGGGCAGGGTACATTTGTCAAATAATCACCACTACAGCTCATGTCCAATCTTTAGATCATGTCACGCATTGTCACAAAATGAAAGTTGCTTCGATACTTATAGGTAGGCATAGATCTCCTTTGACTTTTTAGGTGAGCACAGGAGGTCGGTGGCGAGCGAAGCGAGCGGCCGACCGACAGAGCGGATGTAAGCCAGAGTGGCGAGGAAAAGTGGGCCACAATATTGAATAAATTATATTTTCTATCATGATTCATCTTTCCTATATGTATTTATAAGCAAGCATACTTGAATATCAGGTGAAGTAATGTTTTGCTGATATCCTGGAACTGCATTCCAGGTTTTGAGCCTCACCAAAATATTTTCCAAAAAGGGAATTTATTGCCGAACCGAAGTTTCGGCTCTCTATGTGAAGATGAAAACCAGCAACCCCATATTGGGAGTGGCAGTGTTTGATTATCCTTTTTGGGACGTAGTCACATGATGTTGCCAGACCAATCAATGCCTTTTCTCCCTGCTCCCTCTAAATATGTACCATTAAAAAACAACTGCTAGTCTTTGTTTAGGTCTTCCCCAGCTTGTCATTCTCCCCCAGTTATATCCTATTCCCCTTCATTGAGGTATGTTTTGCATATATATCACTAATAAGGTACACTTTAGGCAGCTTGTATAAAGTGGCTGTGGAAAAAGCAGATCTTTAAGTGGGAACAAAAGACCTGCCAGATTTACTGTGTCTGGGTGAGGCTGAAAGCTGCTCCAGGTGCTTGGCTGACAAAGCCAGAAGAGGCACTGGAGTCACAGTGGCCCCTGGACCACTTGACACAACTCTGGGTGACCACATAACAGGAGACAGACCACTCTAAAGCTGCAGGAGGGAAAGGACGGCACCAATGTCACACAGATTTGGGTCACAGAATTAAATAAATAAATTGGTACAGTAGGTCTCACACCACCCTTCAACCATACTATGCACAGGAACGGGGGTGCACGCTCAGCCTCTAGAGCCTTTAGGCAACAACAACCAACTGTCCATGCCTCTGGTAATAAGTACCTGGGGCCAGGTGTGCAGGTTTTGCATAAACTTGTAACTTCTACACAAAACTAGGTTGATGGACTGCTCAGACACTAATGCACATTTTACAAATACCTTTTCATAAGACTATCTAAAGTATTGAGGACAAATAGTCTTCAAAGGGTAATTTTGGTAGCAGACTACTAGCAGTCAAGTCTGAGTAAAGCATGTATAACCAAAATTTGTCATCACTGCTGACAGCCGATGAGGCAGTGTCTATGACGTAGACTAATATCGAGCAAATTTGTTCAGCCGCGGTCTACATTATTAATTGGACCTCTACTCACTGACCCGGAAATTGCATTCCTGGTGCTCCAAAGCATTGTTTTTACAACACTACCACCCAGACAATGGAGATTAACTCATGCAATTTGCAGTTGTTATACCAGAATTAGGCTACATCTTCTGGTGGAAACTGCAGTCTCTGGCCATATTGACCTGCCATCTTGATACTCACTAATCCTGGTGCAGCCAGTTGAGCTGTTGGTATTATATAAAAATGAAATAACTACATATACTTATAGTCTTTGAGAAAATTTCAAGTCTGAGAACAGCAAGAAAGTAAGACATATGTCCAGCAAGGTCACGGTTCGGCTCTCTGCCGCTTGCGGCCTTATCCCATCTCATTTTCAGAATATATTTGTTACAATTTTACCCATCATTGCCTGGTTGGAACATTGACCAATTTGTAACACTGACAAGCCAGATCACTGACAAAAATACATAGAACTAAGAAAGTGAAGCAAGGTCTCAGCCTCAGGCGCAGGCGCCAGAGGCCCTTGTAGAGTAAACTGGGCAATATAATGACAAATGATTTTTGTGTGACACATCTGAATCAATCACGTTACGTACTCTGCCACCTTCGCAAGCCTGACTCCCCTCCTCGCTCTGGCTTCTTGGCAGTCTTCCGCCACAAAATGTTGCTCGCCATGGCATTCTATAAGAAGGAGGACGAAAGCGCTTCCGGGCTGAGCTCGTACCCTAGCAATCAAACGACCATCATCCAGGAAGCCCTCGCCTTCAGCGAAGCTCCAATCAGCCCCCCGCAAATGTCGAGCGCTGCTTACGCGCATCGTGTATCTCCTATACGTGGGCGAGAACTTCAACACACAAGAGGCTACTACTCTCTTGTTCGGGCGCTACTAAGCTATTCTAGCCTAAAGATGTAAGCAGTGTCCCAGGCATGTTTTCGGACCATATAACTAATCTGGATCTCCAGAGCGCCCTGCGGCAGGCGGTATACCTGGCCATTAAGGAACTCGCAACGACCACGGAAAATGTCATAAGGCTACCGAGCAGCATCCAAAAAGACATGCAACCCAACGCGGAGGTTATCTATCGGCCCAATGCCATTCGGGCCCTTTGCCATATCATCGACGTGCGTTGATTCGTTATATCTCTATATTTTCAGATGCTGAGCACGAAAAATAGCCTTCTATGGCTCAAGGTGTCCAACGGTTTTTCAAAGCTGTCATCGTCGACCGAAACCCTTCCATTTCATCTGCTTCGTTGATCTTGGTATACCATATGCTCCCGCAAGCTAAGGGCGTCGTTAAGCGCTGAGTTCATGAAGCGGAAGAGGCCGTGAACGTTACAGCCGGTGGCTACTTTAGACCCTCAGTAACGGGCGGAGGTTTCTTGGGCAGCGGGAGCCAAAGTAACGCACAGACCGTACCTTTCTCCAGCAATACCATGCGCTCGGACCGCTCTATCTTATTCGGCGACAAGACTGCATGGCTGTTGCAATAATGGTTCAACAACTTGGTGGGGGAAATCCGGCTCGGGAACGACGTTGAAAAATGCCATGGCGTTGTCTATGCTCATTCGATATGCGGCCAATGTCATGGCAGAGGATCCCAAGTGCGTTACTCTTCGCCGTCAAACTGGGTACAAGCTGATTTTTTTTGGCAGCCAAATAGTTGAGCTGCTTGAATGCTGGCCCAGGCATAAGAGCGACATGGCCAACTTTGAAGCGGGTTGTGTTCTCCGTGAAATGAAGAATGACGCACCCGCTCAACTGACCCAGTCGATAGCTGGCAAGACTTGCAATTTTCTATTTGTTTGTTTGCTAATGCATTTTAGTTCTCCCACTGTCTTCTCCCAAGCCTGTTCTTCAATTCTCCGCTACTTGAACGCTTGCTGCTCTCTCGCCGTCACCCATCCGCCGCTTGCAATGTTGATCTCGAAAGTCTCATCGCAGACCAGAACCGCAGCGTTGCTACTACCTATGACATCACTACTACTCTGCTCCAGGTATCATTGCATTCATATTTGACTTCTTGTTCTTATATTTTCTCATAATAGACTGGTCACGAAGCCTCTGTCGACTGTCTCATCAAACAGATGATTACCAGCTTCATGTCCGAAATCCGCAAATCATTGTCGACGCGGTCCGCTCTCTTTGCCACGCAATCCCTGCCAAGCACGCCGCTATACCCAATTTCCTTTCTGGTGTCCTTCGCGACGAGGGTGGCTATGGTTTTAAACGTTAACGCGCGGTTGTTGAAGCCATCTTCGATATGATCAAATTCATCAGCGAGTGCAAGGAGTAAGCGCTGTCGCATCGCCGCGAGGTCATTGGGGATTGCGAGTTTACAAAACTCTCTATTCACATCCTTTACTTGCTCGGTCTCAAGGGGCCCAAAGCTTCCCAACCCGCCAAATTCATTCGTTTCATCTGCTATCGCGTTGTCCTGGAAATGCGGCCGTGCGAGCTGCCGCTGTGTCCAGCTTGGCCAAATTTGGCCTCAATTTCAACCGCGAGGCCCTTAACCAAAGTGTTGGTGTCCTTTCTAGACGGTCTGTGTTTGAATGTGTTGTCTGATTTTTTCACTAAGACACTTACAGATGTCTTGACGACGTCGATGATGAAGTTCGCGACCGTGCTGCTATGTACCTCAAGGTATTCAGGAAGCAAACCCTTGCCGAACCACACGTGAAGGATGGTGCGAATATACCGTTCTGTTACCCAACTTCCCTCGTTGAATTTTTTCGATAGATCTCATATTGTCTTTGGCTGCTTTGGAGTCGAAGCATGTTGCCTACGTCAAGGATTCTGCTGCTTCTGCACAAGCGTTTGAAGTTTCTGGTACTCCTCAAGATCAGCCATGCTCAAACCGCCGCCGCCGAGGTTGCCCGTAAGTTTATCATATCGTTCGTTTGTGATTTACTAATCTCTGGCATAGGACTCAGCTCATTGCATAACTAGTGTTCCGTCTACTCAAACTAGGTCATCCGCCAACTGCAGCAGAGACTCAAAGAACATGCGCGGAACAAATTGCCACTGTCCCGTCGTCCGAGCCTTCTGGAGCTGTGCTTAATAACAGCAACCCGGCTTGCTGAGCTCTCGGAAAGCGAGACCGAATACCAAGTTACCTGCGTCAAAACACATTTTCAAAGAGCACGTTGTCTTCCAGGTGAGCTATTTTCACACTTTTTTATGATGCTTTGTTAATTCTGTCCTAGTTCAATGTCTCGAACACGATCCCAGACGCCGTTCCTGAACAGGTTACCGTGACGCTATGACGCTGACGATGGCCACACCTGAGGATTTTGGTCTTACGAAGGACTTTAGACGTTCTCGTAGGGTGTTGGCGTTACGCTGGACCTTGGGGTCCGCGTGGAACACCAAGACGTTTGCCTACTTGTGGTCCACCGTTGGTTAGGATGGTCCATATTAGAATACTTGTCGAATCATACTTTTTTCCCCTTTTAGTTGTTTGTATAGGAAGATTCACGGGATTCATCATTATTACCCTCCGTTTCTCGCAATTGAGTCCCTGGGCTACAGGCACGACCTGTCGTAGTAGGAGGTCCACATCGAAGTCAAGGTTGAGATGGGCATGTGGCGGAAAGTAGGCGTCGCAAAAATGTTGGTTTATATTCATTCGTATACACACGCACCGCAGCTTATGCGCTTTTTGTAGCAAACTTCAAAAAAAGTATGATTCGACAAGTAGAAACGGAGGGTCATAGCGTAACGCCAACGCCCTACGAGAACGTCACTCGGCTCGGTCCAAGCACCTTCCCACGTCCGCCCGTGACCATGAACCGAGGGAGATGTCGGGCTTTCTGCCCCACCCAAGGGTTCCATGTTGAGTACCTCGATGATCAAGTCGCAGGTAGCTGCAATAGCGACATCAATGAAAAGTCGACGACAAACTAGGATAACACGCACCCTTCAGACGGTCCACGGCCGCTCCCAGGTTTATCACACTCGGCCCGCCCTTCATCCGATCCCATTCGGAGCCGAACGAAGCATATGACGGAACGATGTATGTAGTCTCCGCCCGCGCCAAGCTCGACCTCCTCCAGCTGGTATTCATCTTCAGGCTCACCAGTTGTCGGGTCAAGCTCCTTGCTGACAAATTGCAACGTACAAGGGAACGAAGCAGTCGCATAATCCGTAAGCACGCCCTTGCGAACGAGACGTAAGTTATTCCAGATGAACTTGTCGCAGTGAGGCTGGGAATAAGGAGAATAAAGTCCTTTGTAAGACCAAAATCCTCAGATGTGGCCATCGTCAGCGTAACCTGTTCAGGAACGGCGTCTGGGATCGTGTTCGAGACATTGAACTAGGACAGAATTAACAAAGCATCGTAAAAAAGTGTGAAAATAGCTCACCTGGAAGACAACGTGCTCTTTGAAAATGTGTTTTGACGCAGGTAACTTGGTATTCGGTCTCGCTTTTCGAGCTCACCAAGCCGGGTTGCTGTTATTAAGCACAGCAACCGAGATTGCGACCAACCGAGATTGCGACCAACCGAGATTGCGACCAACCGGTTTCGAGAGATTCATGGGGATCCCTGAAAGAACGATCAGAGGAAAGTTCCACGAGGTGGAGTCTGATTACAAACCAGGAAGACATAGCAAATGACGTCGGGAGTCCGCGCTTCAACTTGAGGGTCGAGGAGGACGTGAAAGGAGCAGAAGACACTTAAAACACTCAGATAGCGTAGAATAGAGCGCAAAACACGCGTGGTTCACGACATACACATATTCGTGGACCTAGATACTGCAAATCTACAAGTCGATTAATAAAAAGACGCCAGAGGTCCCGAGTATCGAGCGACTCACTCCTGAAACGACCTCGTATCGCTTCTAACTCCACAAATTAAGGTACTGTACCTTTGGTTCCAAAATCACTAGTAGAAGCATAAGACGAGGACAGGGCTGACTAGATTGACATGAAGAATCGCGCAATATGCCACCATGGGTTCGTGAAAGCGCACCAGATTCAGGTTAATTATAACAAACTGATCAGACAGGTAACCAAAGATCGTTTTCTTATTAATACGTCCTAAAGCCTCGTTCGTAGGGTCCGTTATCCAACAGCCGATGAGGGCGCAGCGGAGATGAGGGGCGGAATTGACAAGGCCAACCAGCCAAGAATCACGTTCTGTAACAAGGTTTGAGTCTACGAGAAAAGATAAGACGGAACTTGACGCACGGCTACCAATGCCAAACTGCTCCGGGTATATATAATATAATATGTGCGGATATCAAGATAGGTTCGTTCGCAGAACCTCATTACTTGTGCACCATTCTAAATGATGTGGTCAGTATTCTTCGGAAAAGCAATCAGGAATGGGACGCACAATGACGGACTCGTGCACAGCTGCTGCAAACGGAGACATTACAACCATCTGATCACCATTCGTCGGTAATTGACCAAGCAAGTGTTCACACGCGTAGAGTAGAGGCTCCAAGTTTGAGTCACTGTACCTATGAGTCGTCTCACGCCGGATGTGGTATTTATCGTTTTATTCAAGCAGGTCGACTTGAGGTCGACGCTTTGAATGCTAGGTGGACGATTCAATTTTAGTAGAGCTAGCCTGAAATTTGTCGATTACATACCCGCCGGATCCTGCGCAACCAACGCGCCTTTTCTGAGCTCAGGAAGGATGTCCTTCAAGCCCTTCTCCTCTGCAAATAGCTCCACATCACTGAGCAGCCGTTCTCGCGGAATCCCTCGAAGCGGATTGTCGAGTTTCCTGTTTGCGGCACTGTCATAAGGGAGTGAGCGATGGAAGGTCAACTAAAGGGAAGGAGATGTACGTGAAAGGCAGAATGAGTCCTTGAATATGATGGCGCGTGACGTCACACTTCCGAGTTAAGTATGTACTCCGTTGTTTATTGAAAAAAATTCCGCCTGTCGATGTGACGTTCCTCCTTCTATTCCTGAAGTGCTCCAGCAGTAGCTCTCAGCATGAGCCCTTGTCCCACATGGGGGTCCTTATTAGGATGGCAGGATCAGCCTTCGCGCTGGGTCCTTGGACTGGACTGGTTTCCCGTCCTGTATCAGCCCCGTATCCCTTCCCTCACCTCGAGTCGAAGATACCGTTTTGGCCCACTCTCCCCGACCTACTCCCGGATAAGCGTCTAAGCCCGTCGAACTCTGGCTCAGCCGGCGGTGGTCACCCACTCTGTCCGCTCGGCCGACCCTTGGGAACCTCTCCCCCTCACTTGGTGTCTTTCCGTACCGCCAAGATTCAAGCGATAGCGGTGGAACCAGGGCGATAGCCCTTATGGCCTTGACGACGATAGGACTTGTCGTCGGATGAGGGGATACCTGAAGAGGATGCCTCTGGAATCTGTCGGCGGTCTATGCTTGTTTAAACTACGGTTCTTTCCGGCGAGTTCAGGTTTTTTCTAGTCTATACTTGATTCATTGACCGTATCTTTGCCCAGTCTAAGCCACCTCTTACTATCGATGCCCTGGTTATCCAAGTTTAACCTCCGTCGTCAGAAGCAATCCCTCAGTCCACCTACTCGACTTCTGCGTTTCGAATACCCCCTCGAGGTAGAGTCTCGGTCGTCTATATTTTGCCTTCTTTGCCTGGGAAGTGACCTGAAACTCCACCTGTTTTATATCGTTGGAAGATGCCCAGCGCTTTCACTGAATCGACAACTGTCGAGCCCAATCAGAATTGGTACCTTCTTGTACCATGACTTGCACTCATATTGGACCGGAAACCCCTCCCTTCTGCGCTCCATGTGCGACCAGCCTGAGATGGACGTCTGCACGTTCGACCCATGGCGGTTTTCCTCGAAGAACTCCACCCATTTCGTTCTTTGTTGGTCTTTGTGAGAAGCAGGTGGTCATGCCGTACTCGATGGCGAGGATGTGTCAGCTCTGACCTCGACACCGAAGGCTGAACCGCCCTCCATTACCTCCCCGTCCATGTCCGGGCAACGAACCTCCCTGCCCCAGTGATAAGTCAGAAGCCCTGGATCTAATTTGTTTCCCCCCCGTGGCGAGAGGTACCCCCAGAGAGGTGGGTGAGATATCGGGGTCCAAAGGCCGGGAACTCTCGTTCTGAATGTCGTAGTACCTCCATTCTTCCATTTAGTTTCACGTCTCGAGTCTGCAGTCCTCAGTCTCCGAGACTACGTAGTACCGGCGTCCCACTCCCAGATCATAACCTAGTACATCGATGTCATCGATCAAACCGGGAGTGACCAGCTTGAAGCCACGTGCCCCGTTGCGAAGTTGACTCTACCTTCTTTCTTTCCTCCCTCATGAAACTTCTCGAAAAACGCCGCTTGTTAAGTCTCGATTCTGTAGAGCTTGCCTGGGAAGATTACTCGCCTGTGCCCCTTGCACCTTGCGACCTCAGCATGCAGGAAAGTCTACCCACCGATTCAGCTTCCCCGTCACCGGGCTCCGAACTTTATCTTCTTCCAAGCATTCTCGATGGCAACCCCGTCTGCCCAGATACCATGCTACTGACGTCGGGTTTACCCCCATCTAGGTTCTCCAGGTGCGTTGGGTCCTTGTGCTAAACTGCAGCGTCTGAGTCGCGCCGCTCAAAGCTACCCCACCAATTCATGCAGCCCAGAGACCTGGGTAAGATTCAGTCTCTTCCTCCTCGACATTAAAACCTTTTCGTAGAAAGACCCATACGAATCCCCTCCCCCGCTTTGCGTCGATCCGCGTGCCATTCTCGCCAACGGCGAAGCCTGTGATGTTACTCCACGCGATTGCCTTTCGGAAGACCTCTTTGCAATCGAAGACGCTGAAGACGTGAGTTAATCCGATCCATAAAACCTCGATCCACCCACCAGATCGACAGCCAAAAGAATATTCTTCGCCCGTTGCTATTACACCACGCACTACCAAAGTCGCGATGTTTTCTCAGTCAGAGTCAGACCTCTCCAGCGCTGAGGATGGTTTCCTGTCACCATCGAGTAGACTACTTCCA